GGCGATCCCTGACAACGACCCCTCACACGGACCCTGGCAGCGATCCCTGACAACGACCCCTCACACGGACCCCTCTCGGCGGCCCCTCACAGCGAGGCCCTCACAGGGACCCTCACACAGATCGCTCACACCGGCCCCTCACAGGGACCCCTCAAATGGACCCCTCGCAAAGATCGCCCACACTGTCCCCTCACATGGATCCCTCACAGGGACCCCTCGCACAGATTCTCACACTGGCCCCTCACAGGGAGCCCTCACACCGACCCCTTACATGGACCCCTCACACGGGTCCCTCACAGGGACCCCTCACATCCACACAGCCCCGGCTCCAGAACCTTCCACGCTTCCTGCAGTCCATGATCTCCCCGACCCACAGAGGGCCAGTGCTGGGGGCTGTTTGTGGCACAATCTCATGTCAGTGCCAGGGGCACAGACTGGGGGGACACTGTGCCAACAGAAAGGTTTGGGATGGCTCTCCACAGCTCGTGGTGTTGAGGCCAAGCGCCCAGAAACATGAGATGGCACTGCTGTGGCACCTTGAGGGACCTCCCTGAGCACTGGTGAGTCAACCACAGGCTCTGGATCACACTCCAGATCCAGCTGCTGAATTTTCCTCTTGAGGAACTGCCTGCTCCTCTGAGAAGAATGCTGGTGCTTCACTGTCTCGAATTGATTTACAGCATGCAGTGTTTATTGACAGTATTAGTAATGGACTATTCCAAGGCATGATGAGGCCTCAACAGCTTGCCAGGACCTTGAGAAAAGTGCTTGAGTGGCATATTTGTTGGGGGAAGGGATGAATGGAGATGTTTTCCACCCATCGTGGTGCTGGAGCAGTCACACTGTAACTTCACTGTGTGTCATCGAGCACTTGGGGCTGCCCCAAGCCCAGGTGAGCCACAGAGACATGAGGTGTAGCAGCAGTGCTGAGTGCCAGGCAGCTTTTGCCCTGGCAAGAGAAGCTGAGATGCCCACAGGATCATTGGGAAGGGGCAGAGAGTTGGGTGGCCATCACCCCAAGTCCCTGTGGAACGGCACTGAAGGACAGAGAGCAGCTGTCAGCACAACACCTCACTTAATTGTGTGCATCACAATGCAGTAGAGATTGCTCTGCAGACTGATCCACAACCCACGTGCCTGTCTGCACATGCATTCCTTGTTGGAATAAGCTTGGAGGGCAAGAGCTGGCATCACCTCATGAATGGTGCTCCAAGGAAAGGTTCCCAGTGACCAGTTCTAACAGTTTTGACCCTCTAAGCAGCAGCTTAGAATCAACAGATGCAAAGAACCACTTATATTAAAAAAAAAAAAAACATATAAACTTGATCCCAAAAAAACAGTTTCAGTGCTTTATCTCATCATCTCACACAATGGCTTTGCTTGACCACTAGAAATGATGTTTTCTGGGTGTTCTTTACCTGCAGCAAAATGAACAGAAGAAATGAAAAATCACCTCCTAGAAAAAAATAAAAAACACAAGTAAGTTGAATTCATCTGGGCTGTGTTCACCTCCAGAAAGTTGCCAGCAGGCTGATATTAGGGATTTTTCTCTTCCAGTGGTTACACACAGAAAAGGGCAGGATTTTTGTGTGTCCTGTCATGTTCCCAGGGACCCCTCTCTGCTGGGACAGGGCTGATGTTCACCAGCCAGAGCAAGAGCTGAGTGGGTTTATTATACTTAATTTTAAAGAAGGAATTCATTTGGAATAAGTGTGAATAAGCAGTGAAATACTTACAGAGCTGTTTCTTTTGGTTTCTTGAAGCACTGAAAAGAAAAGAAAAAAAAGCAGCCCTGTTATCATTCACGTTTCCTGGCCGTGGGAATATTGTTACAAATGTTGCAAGTACATAATGCCTTCCACATGAAATATCTAATGCTTGGTTTATCTACTGGTAATTCTAAAGCAGGAGGTAGTTTGTAGCAGTTTTCTAACTGTGAAAAGCAACATTATGAAATAGAATAGAAAAGGTAGAAAAAAACCAGGGCACTGCAGCAAAACTATACTATTTTTTTTCTATGAAATTAGAGCTTTCCATACCTTAAGAAATTTTTCTATTCGAGCCACAATTCCAAAAAGTATTGTGATTGTAACAACCACGACAGCAGCAATAACAGCCTCCTTGGGAAAAACAGGTTTTTTATCTGTCAGGAAAAAAGTAGTTGGATATGTGAGAAATTTGTGCAGTCACATAACCCAGAACACTTCACAGGACTGTGGAAAGACATTTCCCACAGCTGTCACTGCTGAGTTAACTGTTGCTCTCCCTGCTGTCCACAGACTGACTCTGTGTGTTAGTCCCTGGAGAGGAGGGAGCTGAGCCCGTGTTTCAGTGAACTGAAGAAGGATTGAAACATCAGCTCCTGAAGAAGATCCCCCAGGCACTGTAATACTCAGAAATAAGGCAGCCTGGTGGTACCACTGACACAGGTAACATTGCTTCCCTCCCTGTGCCAGGAGGACAGAAATGAAAGAGGTCTGGACTGAGGTGATTTAGTGTCACCAGTCTGAGCCCTGAGCACCCAGCCCCTGGAGTCACCTCTGGAGCACAACTTCTCTTGCCTTCAGCAGCTCTTTGGGCATGACAGAACCCTGTGGTCACAGTAAGATGCTTCACACAAGACCTGAGGTGCTTTAACCCACACTTGAGTGTGCCCTGTCAGCGTGGGAAGAGCAGCAGTGGGATGAGCCTGCCCCAGGTCACACTTGCCAAATGCTTTTGAACAACAGGTAGGGCAGGAGAGGCCCTTCCTGTGCTGTGGTCCCAGGCACAGGAGCAGGGAGAGCTCCTTGCTGTTGCTGTGCCCTCAGAAATCCACGCAGGGAATTTTCACACACTCCACTTACACTGCACAATATTGTTGTCATTATAAAAGAGAACAGAGAGTCATTTGTAAAGCTTATTAATCAGCAGCAGCCTTGCTACCTTCAACTATGAGGTGGAAATCCCTTGTCCCATTTCCCAGGCGTGATTCCACCAGGCAGGTGTAGGTCCCATTGTCAGATTTCTGCACTTTGCTGATGGAGAGCTGAAAAATCTCACTGGTCTGGTACAGCTTGTGCCGACTTTGCTGCAGGGTCAGGCTCTGGCTGTCCTTTAACCAGGTGCTTTGGCCTTGAGGGTTGGATTTGGAGTTGCAGGTCAGAGTAACATCTTTCTCTTCTTCCACGTGCAGGGTCTCCTCTCCACTCAGATGGGGAGGGACTGTTCACAGGAATGCAGTTCAACAGGTCGTTAGTAATGCTGCTCATAGAACCACAGAACCATTTAGGCTGGAAAAGCCTCTTCAAATTGAGTTCAGCTCTTAACCCAGCACTGCCAGGGCCACCACAAAACCATGTCCCCTTGTGCCACATCTACACATCTTTTAAATCCCTGCAGGGATGGTGTCTGCACTGCTGCTCTGGGCAGCCTGTGCCAGGACTTGCTGACCCTTTCAGTAAAGGAATTTTCCTTAATACCCAATCTGAGCCTCCTCTGGCACAATTTGAGGCTATTTCCTCTTATCACTTTTTACCTGGGAGAAGAGACTGACCCCACCTTGCTCCAGCCTCATAGAATGCCCACATTTAACACAAAATAAGTTCCTTTCTCACATCCCTCGTGCTCCTTGTTCAGTAGTCTAACAGATCACAGTATTGCAGCCTTTCCTGATCCCTGGGAACGAGGAGGGCAGTCAGTGGCAGAGACTTTCACTCCAGTATTTCCTCTGCCCTGACTTGTATCCTTGGGAAATAACCTAGGTGGAGGCAGGGACATATCCAGAGTATCTTTCTTAAGGTACCCACCCACTCCTATAAAAGAGCCCTTAGATCAGCCATAAGCACCAGTGCAGGAAGGGAGTGCCTTATCACGTGAGTTATCTCCTCCTAAACACATTTTTTCTCGGTGAAGACAGCGTACAAGGGTGCAAAACACCGCCCAGACAGAGCTGCTGTGCCCAGGACTCCATCCCACCCCAGCCCTTCCATACAGGAATCCACCACAGCAACTCACACTGCACATCCAGGGTCACAGACACCTGCACAGCCTTGTCCCGTGCCAGCCTGCACGTGAAGGTGACCCCGTTGTCAGACTCGTTGACTGGGGAGATGCAGATGTTGCTGATGTTCACTTTATTCCCATCCTTCAGATCCACTTGCCCATCCCCGCGGTACCAGAGCAGCTCCTCGGCCTGGCTGCTGTTGTGCACGAGGCAGGAGAGGGAGATGGCAGGGCTGAGCCCTGTGGACAGGGTGAAGTCAGCAGCCTGGTTATTTACAGACAGCTCCACACCTGCAGAAGGAGGAGGACAAGGACATTTAAGCATCCTGAGCCATACTCTTCCCACAAAAGCTGCCATGCTCACTTCTCCATGCCTCAACCTTGGAGGAGGGATGAGACTTTCAGGTTTCAATCTGTTTTCAGGTGGAATGTTAGTTTTTGAGACAAGAAGCTGTCTTAATCTCAAAGCTCCCTCAGTTATTTAAAACAAAAATCAGCCTTTTGCAGCTGACTGCCAGAACAAGGCCTGACCTGTGACAACAAAATGTCTGAAGCCAGGACTTGTGACACCCAGCAAAAGGTCATTCCCATCCCATCACCCTCCTGCTGCCAATCACTGCTGCAGCATCACTGTGCTCACTGTTTGATACTCTCGTTTTTCAGTTGGAGCAGGATGCCCTTGGGAGTGTAAATGATTTCATCAGCCCCTCAGCTTTTTCCTGGCTGCAATTTGTCAAAGGTACAAACCTCAGGACATCCTAAATGAACAACCAGTATGGGAAATAAATTATTGTAATGGGATAAAACTCACCACTGCAGCCTGGGCCATAGAATAATAAATTAAAAATATAGCTCAGATTATAAAGGTATTAAGGTCCTGTGAATATAAAGAAGCCTGAAGGTCCCTGTCTGAAGGTGTTCCCAGGTGGCCAAACCTATCACACTTATCACTGCTTAGAGCAGGTTTGGAAACTGTGGCTTCATCATCCTGCTGCAATAATGCTGGAGAACACTGACATTTCCCCATTCCCTGCTCTGTTGCTCTCAAATCAGAGGTCAGTTTTCAGACAGTCCTCTGGGGATGATCTCCAGAACACCAAAATGCTGCTGTGGCACATCACCCAGCCCTGGGCAGTTTCAGTAATTGGTGTGATGGGGACAAAGGCAGGATGGATTTTCCATTGCTTACCTGTGGCCACCCATGCCAGGAAGGAAACAGCCAGGACGGGCACTCCATGGGAGGTGCTCAGGCTGCGTCTCTGCACCATCTCGGAGCAGAGCTGGCTCTGTTGGAGAGAGAACCACAGCACTGCTGCCTCTGCCCAGGGCTCGCAGGGGTTAATCCCTGCAGCCACCAGAACCCCGGGGAGAGCCCCACAGCAGGCACAGGGTCACCAGGGAATGAACTGAGTCCATTGTTGCAGGGCATTTTCCAGTTCAGAGCAGATTCAAGGGGTTTTATGTCTCTAATCTCCATTACATGAGTTTGTTGTCCCTGATCACCTGTCAGGCAGGGGAACCCGTCTCTGGATCAGGTAGCACTGGACTTACCTTGGGAAGAGTCTCTGGAGAGGCTGCTTCTGCTGGGAAGTGCACAGTGCTTTCCCCTCCTTATTTATAAGGTCTGAATTTTAATATTTTATGATCGTTCAGTAAGAAGTGAGTCTATAAAATGGGTTCAAGGCCTCGTTCAATTCCTGGATTTCTGAGCTCCCACAAGACTGAAGTATTTGCTGGGCTCTGCTGGCTGTTTTATGAGACTTTCTGAGGCAATGAGTAACTAATGAGAGAGTTCCTGCATCAGCCATAAAGACTTTCAGCCAAAAATAATACCTTTTTCCCCCCAGCTTTCCGTGTGCTCACAGCACTATTTCAAGACACAGGGATTTTATTCTAGATTATTCTAGAGCAGGAATAGACTCTGATTTGTCCCTTTTGCCCAAAGCTCCATTGCCATGTTCTCCTTTGAGTGGAAAATGAGAAAATTCACTGATTCAGACTTTGAACTGCATGTTGGCAGAGGAGAGAGCAGACACTGTCCTGCTCACCAGTGTGTACCCGCAGGCTGCTTTTGTGCTTGGCTGAGCCCTGGGCACCCCCAGCCCAGAGCAGGGGGGTCTGTCCCTGCTGTCCCCTCTGCTGGGCCAGCTGTGCCTGGGCTGTGTGTCCAGGGCACAGCTGAAGCACTTGGCTATGTGGAAATGAGGTGGCTGTTTGCACCCCAGCAGGGTGATGGTGACGTGGGCACAAAGCACGGGGTCCTCACAGCCTCCAAATGCGTTGTCACTGCTGCCAGTGTCCTTGCAGGCACATCACTCATCAGGAATGGGCTCAGCAGGGCCATAAAATGCATTTCATGAGCAGGAGGAGCCTGGGATGTGTCCTTGGTGTTTTCTTGGCCTGTGGACGCCGTGTCCCAGCTCAGTGACACAGAAATGGGCAGGGAGGGCTCCTGCTCTGGGGCTGCTGCCTGCACACACAGCACAGGAGAACACAGCACTGCTTATTTGTGGGGCTGCTGCAAACAAGGGTCACCTTTGAGTGTTTCTTAAAAGAATTCTTCCTCTGTTTATGGGTTTACCCTTAAAACCTACAGGGAATCAGTCTTGGTTAAGAAAGTATATGTGTACAAAAGTCCCTTGAAGAGAGAGCTCTCAGTCCCCTTTCTAAAAAACTGTCCTGTCCTTGTAGAATTCAACTAAATGTTGGCTTATGATTCAGTACAAATTTTAATCCAAATGCTCTTCTAGGAGTAAAGTGATCCCTGTGGTTTAGAATTAAGCTGAATTGAAATAGAGAGAGATTCAAAGGAATGGACTGGGAAATGGCTCGTGTGCTCCCACCACAAGGTGAACCAAAGGCAGGAAAGTGAAGTTTGTGCTCCCTCTGGTCACTACTCTGATTGAGACTCTGAAGAAGAAGGAGGTGGTTTGGAGTAAGTGAGGATGTATAGAAGGAGAGGGTGGAGTTTGGGAATTTTAATGTAGAAATGACAGTAGGGGAAAAGATTTCCAGACCACAGCTGTTCTGGGGGGGTTTGTTATGATGTCAGACCCAGCACCAGCTGGAACTGGGGTCAGATTCTGTCCCAGCAGGTCCATGACAGGCACTGAGGTGAGCTGAGGTTTGTCTGGAGCAATGGCACTGTCCTCATCTGCAATGGGCTCAGGATCTGCTGAAGGAAGAGGGACTAGAAAATCAAGGTGTTACCTGGCCAGAGGCACTGGAAGGCAGCTGTTTAGGCCAGGTAAGAATTACTTTCGCAATGGCTTTTTACACTTTTCTTTTCATACAGGGTGTAATTAATCTTGTGGGTGTCTAATTACTGAGCTCTAGAGTTTTGTGGGTTGCATTCTCCACCTTTCCATTACGTTTTTTGGAGGGACACAAACCTCATGTTCCAGAATGCAAAGCAGCCACTAATGACTCAGACTGGGAGGAACATCTTCAAGGAGGCAAGAACTCCATAACTCTGCACAGCAAAGGATCCAACCCTCACATTTGGGGTACTTGGATCTGCACAGCCAAGGCTGGATTAGCCAGACCACGGGCTACAGTCAGTAATCCACCACACCAGTTCCTGCTCATCATCCTTATGGCAACGCTGCACCAACAAACCCAGAACAAGACTGTTGTTAAATATGACTCTGAACAGCCTCAAAGGAATTAATTAATAAGCACCAGTCTATTCCTGGGTGTAATCCAAGCCTTAGAAACCTGAGCAGAGAAGATTTAGAACATGATAGAGATTGAGCAGAAGTTTTTTTTTCCATCAGGTCTCTTAACCTCCAACTCCAAACTTCCCAGCAGTTGGTTCAGTGTGGATCTCCTCAGTGCCTGCAGGAGCAGGAAGCACAATTCCTAATCCTCCACACTCTCACTGGCAGGTGAGATCTTGATTTATCCTTAGCAGTTGTGGGGGTTGATGGTTGCTCCTGGAGTCAGGGGCATGGCAGGATCTGCACAGACGTGTGGAAACCCAGGGTTGTATCTATGGTTTTGTCAAGCAAACAAAGGCTGGAACGTGGCTGTAATCCTGCTCCAGAAAACGTTTCTGCAATAGTGCCTGAGGCTCTGCTCTAAGGCTGTTCCTGCCTTCCTACTCTTTGTGGTTCCCCACTTCTAATCCCATCTTAATATGTGGTGATACACATTTTGCAACATTTCCATTGTTGGAGGATGACTGTAACACCAAATCCAGGGCCTCTCCTTGCCAGATAACTGGGCTGGAAACTGAGGCTGTCCGGGAATGCTGCTTGAATTTACTCAGCACTCCTGTTCCCTCCCACAAACCTATATTCCCAATGTTTTTTAAAAACATTATGGAGGTGTGATGTGCCCTGATTTCTCCCAGCCTAGATCCAGCATATTTCTCACTAGTGAGATGGACAGATCTCAAGTATGTTTTTCATAAATTTGATAGTAAATCTATTTCCTGATGATCTTTAAATAAAGGTTCACTTGCCATGCCACTGAACACAGAGGAATTACGAGTAAACTTTTTGGGAAGGAATAGGAATAACTAAAGAAATACTAAATCAGTGAATATTTTGAAGTTTTGAAAAAAAATCAAATGGAAAATAGGCATTAATGAAAAAACAGATCCTGGGATCCATAAAGTGGAAGAGAAACCCTCAGAGAGGTGAGGCTCCAGCACAAGTGTTGGACGTGGATGCCACCTGCTGGGTACCCACCCATGGAAGGGAAGCAAAATCTCACCTGGGAGTGCTGGAAACCAGCTGAGATCCCTGGGATCACCTTGGCAGGAGCTCAAAGGCAGGAAATCCTGTAGAAAGCTGAAGCCACACTCATGACTGGGGAGGCTGCTAAACCTGGTGCCTGCTTCATGCTGATGGCAAGTACAGGACATTCCTGAGCAGAATTCCCAGAGCTGCTTCTCTTTCAACACCCTGTTCTGCTGTGGCTCTACAGCCTGGACCTCAGATATTTTTGTGTACCTAGGAACTTTCATCACCAGTGGGATTTCTTGGAAGTGCTCTCTGCTGGAAAACCAAGTGGTTATTTGATCTTGTGAAGTGCTGCCAAACAATATTAGCAGCTTTAACTTCCCTGCTGTGGGGTCATCCCTCGCTCCCTCCATGAGGAATCTGCCAGGACTGAGCTGCTCCATCTTTCCAGTTCATGGGGGACCATTTCCTGCTGATCTCCAGGAGAAAATCACATTCCTGCTCCATGGCTGGAAGCGCTGTGGAGTGTGGTGAGGCAAAAGCCCCAGCTCCTGAGTAACCACCTTTTGAGTGCCACAGCACTGGCACAAGGCAGAGATGAGGAGGAGGAGGGAGAGGAAAGGGAGGAGGAAGAGAAAGAGAAGGCAGATCCTGCATATTTGCTCACTCAGGGATGTGGAAGTCTTGGGCTGGCCCAAGGAAATGTGGAGAGTTTGCTGTTACTGGCTGCTGAGCAAATGAGCTGGTGACTCATCAGCCTCTGCCACATGCTGCTTTTACAATTGGCCTGCAGGAGTTCCAGACAACTGGGCTTTTATCAGCTAAAAAGGGAAATGAGCTCAGTTACTCTGGGTAAATCCAGAGCAATCCATTTGTAGACTGAGGACTTAAATATATATCATGGTGATCACTTCCAAGAGAGCCATGTTCTCTCTTGGCATTCATTCTCCTTTTTGGTTTAAGCACATCCTGCTGACCAAGGTCTTTTGGCTTTTCCAGTTTAATTTTATCTGGGGTATCTTTTTGATGGATAACCCCTGTTTCCTGCTTGTTGCTCTCCTAATGATTGTGCAGACCAGATGAGCTCCAAGAAAGCAAAGCCAATTTACTCTCCCTTTCCTGGAAGCCTTCTGACGCTGTACCATGCTTGGCTCACACATGAGTTTGCATCATCTGGTCTCTTGCACAAAGGATGCTGGAATGCCATGAGATGAAGAAGTCACACCACTGATGGTTCCCCTGAAAATCAGTTTTATGTGCTAGACTTGGGGCTGGTGTCTCCTACAGGAAATGCCAGAGCTGGGAAGCAGATGTGTACATGAGATACTACTGAAAAGTTAAACAGCAATTGGCAGGAAACTGCTGTTGGAGATGGGCACTTCCATTGTTTTATGGACTGCAAAGTGATGCTAGCAGAGTAAGGTGTCTTGTCTTTAGTCCTTATCATCTCACCTGCCTCTCAAAGGGAATTTGATGGAGGAGGCCCCAAAGTACTGTTTATATCTCCTCTGAGGCTCATGGCTGTGCAGTCACAGCCACATGCAATGCAAACATCGCACTGTTAGAATGTCTTTAATCCCCAGAGGTCCGATCTGAGCAGGCAGCTCGCTCAGGGCTGGGAGGCACCAGGAGCAACACCTTGTGCCCGTGACCCACAACTTGTCACCGTGCCCAGGCAATGTCCCGTCCTTCCTCCCCCGCCCCTGGCTTGTGTTCCAGCTTTATCCGCTGGAGACGTGGGGCCTGTCGTGACCCCTCCGAGGCACCGGGGCATCGCCCGGTGCTGCTATTTGTGCAGCACTAACTCCGTGCTGGCTGATCCGCCTCTCCCGCAGCGGTGAGCGCCGTGGAACCGCTCATGCAGGGGCGTTCGTGGGGGAAAACAGCGAGGGCGAAGAGCGAGAGGCCGCACTGTCCTGAGGGAGGGCAGAACCCCCGTGCCCTGGGAGCCCCTCGGAGCCCGAGTGACCCCGCTCCGCTCCCGCTGAGCCCCGCACCGGGGCCGGCCCGGGGCCCGCAGGGGGCGCCGCAGAGCACGGTAACACCCACCCCGTGACGTAACGCCCGCGCCGCCTCTCATTGGTCCCTCACCGCCCCGCCCGGACGGCTCCTCCCCCGTAGCTGCCGCTGATTGGTAAGCGCCGGGACAGGTCCCGCCCCCCGGGGCAGCGCCACCGCCCCCCTCGGCCCGGACCCGGAGCGGCGCCGCGGGACCGGGGCGTGCGCGGGGCCATGGCGAGCGTGGCGCGGGGGCTGCGGGCGATGCCGCGGCTGCTGCCGCTCCTCTGGGCACTGCTGCTGCCGCCCTCGCTGCAGAGCCCGGCCCGCTCCCCCCACATCAAGAAAGCGGAGGCGGCGGCGGCGGCGCCCGGCGAGGCGCTGCGGTACCTGCACTCGGCCGAGCTG